TAGGACCTTGGCCTGTCGGGCCAGTTCCCATCAACCTGGCATCCTACCCCTTCTTTAGGCCTCGCGGGACCTGGGTCAGATCAACGACCTCCAGTCACAGCTGGAGGATGCCAATAAGGAGAAGCAGGAGCTGCAGGAGAAGGTATTCTGGGGCCAAGGGGGTACGTTCCCCTTGGTTTTTCGGGCGGCCCTCCGGGCAACCCCCCCCCCCCAGCAGCCCCTCTGAGCAGCTTCTCTCCCTTCCCAGCTGCAAGGCCTCCAGAGCCAGCTGGAGTTCCTCGAACAATCTATGGTGGACAAATCCTTAGTGAGCCGTCAAGAAGCCAAGATACGTGAGCTGGAGACAAGACTGGAGTTTGAGAGGACCCAAGTGAAACGCCTCGAGGTAGGAACTTTCGGTGCAAGGGAAGGGGGAGAGGAAGCCCCCTGCAACATCTGGGCCCTGCTGGGAATGCAGACCTTGGCGGAAAAACCGTCCTCTGCCCCGGGGCGAAAGGAGATCTCATTCAGGGCTGACCGACGGGAAGGCAAGGAATGCTCAGCCCCTTTGTGGCTTCTGACAAGCAAGGCAGTGGAGCCTTTAAAATATTCTGCCTCCCCATCCCCTTTTCCCTCTAGCTCTGCCCCCCACTTCTCACACCCCAGCAAGCCCCTGGCCCAGCCCCACTCCCTCCTTTCTGGTCCCAGAAAGGCTCCCTGGCGGGGCAGATGGTAGCCCTGCTTTCCAGCCCATCCCCACGGATCCTTCCTTAGGGGAAGCAGAGAAGCTTCCGAGCGCCTCCTTAATATTTTTCTGCCATTCCTCGCTTCCCTCTTCCCTCCTTTCCACTCCCCTCACCCTCGCCCCACCGGCAGCGTGATAAATATGCAGGGAACGGCTCTCAGCTGCCGCAAAAGGATGGAATCTATTTTTCTCCCTACATTACATGCTGTAATTACTTCACACAAAGTTAAATCTATTTTTCCAATTCACCAAGGCCCCCCTGATTATTCTGCCCACGCCTGGGGAAGAAAGTTCCTCTCTCCCAGGCCCAGCTCGGCAGCTGCCCTCCCTGCTCTCTCCTGCCTTCCCCCTCCAGCCAGTCCTCCCCCTCATGTAAATTCATAGGGCTGGGTTCGTTTGTTCCATTAGCTCTTGGCGGAGAGCGATTGGGCCCCGCTCATTCCGGAGCCCCGGCCTCAGTAATTGCTGCTGTCTTCTGCCATTATGCACAGCGGATGAATATTGATGCGCCAGCCCTGGGTCTTCCCGCCGTCTCTTTTCCACCTGCCGTGGCTTGCAGGGCATGGAGGGGGATCACCTCTCTCCGCAGCGAGTGGGGGCGGGGGGCGGCGGCCAGGTGCTGGCTGAGCTGATGCTGGCATCGGGTCTCCTTAGCACTGGGATCCTGCGGCTCTGGGTTCTGCCTCTGCTCCGACGGGCTCTGGAGACGTCTCCAGCTCTGACGGTGGGTTGGGGAAGGAGGGGAGGGGAGGGGAGAGGGGCTTCTGGTTCTTGCCAAAGGCGTTCACGCATTCTGGGGGATGGGCGCTTAACTCATCCTTGCTCCCACCCGGAAAGGGAAGAAGAACGCGAGCTGCTGCTGGACCAAGGAATGTGGAATGAACCAGGGAAGCCCCCACCCCCGCCATTCCACTGCCCCTTTGCCTCTGTCTTGTCTGCAGCTGGCTCTCCAGGGTCTTTCCCAGCCCTAGCTGGAGATTGAACCTGGGAGCCCGGGGCAGCAAACACCCCTGGCCTTCTCCTGGTTCAGGGACCAGCATCACCCCTTAGGAAGATGAGGGGGCAGGTGAGGGGAAAGACCCCTCTCTGCCGAGGCCCTTGAGACCCCACACCGCCACTCAGGCTGCGCTGTGGCAGATGGAGAGCTTGGCCAGAGGTAGCCATGGCACCTTCCTGGGCACCTGCCTCTTCTCCCTCCTGTACCTCACTCTCCCCCCGCCCCTCTGCAGAGCTTGGCTTCTCGATTGAAGGAGAACATGGAGAAGTTGACGGAAGAGCGTGATCAGCGCGCGGCAGCAGAGAACCGAGAGAAGGAGCAGAACAAGCGTCTCCAGCGTCAGCTCCGGGACGGCAAAGAGGAGATGGCTGAGCTGGCCAAAAAGGAGGCCGAGGCGACCCGGAAAAAGCACGAGCTGGTAAGGGGCAGACCTACGGGGACGCGGCCAGACCTGGGACCGCGTTTCTTCTCCAGGCCCACCACGCTGGCCTCCTAGGCACAGCTGCTCATTGCCTCCCCTCACCTGCCCCATCCCAGAGGTCCGCCTCGGCGCTGGTTCCAAGCCAGGACTCCTGAGCCCACCCAGTGAAGCCCAGCACAGAATACTCTGGTCAGGATGAAGCGTAAGGGGCAGAGCAAGCAGCTGCCCCACACACGCCAGCATATTCACCCTGGCCATATGAAAATCCCCTCTTGGTTTTCTGCCCAAACTTTTCTCATTTGAACAGCTTCACCCAAGGCAGAGGAATAAATGCTCCGTGATTGGTTGTTGAAGCAGTTGGCAGACACACTGTGTGCTCTCCAGGGGCCTATCCGCCAGCCCCTCTCCCCTCCTCTCTCATCCTCAAGTGGACGATCAGTTTGTGCAGAACTTTAGGGTCGGACGTTAACCCTGCAAGATGAGAGAGTGTTTCCAGATGGACCCTTTAATGCTTCATGCGCACCATGTTCTTCATGGTCATTTCACAGAGCACTCAAAGGGGGTCATCTCCCATTCGTCATCAGCGGGAGGAAAAATGTCCTGCGTTTGTAGAAAGCTCTGTTTGTACAAAGTTTGTACATAAACTGTTCCTTATGTTAAGATAAAATAATACAAAAGCAGCTGGAGTCTATGAGGATTGAGTTCTTAGATAAATTGCACCAATAAATAAATAAACTCCTCTAAGAAAACACTGATTCAGAAAGGGACACAAGGGCATGAGACAATGAATTTCCTATAGATGATGTCCAAAGTGCTCTCCAGAGATCTTGTTATCTTATTATTAAGCAGTTCATTGCAAATAGTGGCTTTTTCCATTGCTACCAATATGACAGTGAGAGAATTTAGCAGTCGGGATCTTTTGAAAATTGGGATGGGTAGATCGATGGATGCATCTGAGTTTTGTCCCACCACAATCTTGCAACTCTCGCTGGTTACAGTTTCACATGAAAACAACTGAATTAAAACAACACGCAGTCCAAACTGTGAAAACAAAAGCGAAGCCAGAAAGAAAAACAGTACGAACAACAGGAGGTGCAGGTGATGTTACGGAAAGCCCCTTTGAAGAAGCTCCCTTTTTAATAACTTCCTCAAAGCAACCAGGAAGGAGGGCCGTCTGATCCCAGTGGGGCGCCCCTTCCCTAGAATTGCTACAGCTACAGAGACGCAGCATCTTCTGCGTTTGGCTCCCTCACATCCTGGAAATGTCTAACAGGCCAGGCCAAATCGGGAATGGATTTCTGACGGGAAAGAAGAGGGGCTGACACACCGCATGTTTGTGGGGAAGTGATGGAAAGACAGAAAGGCAGAAATGAGAGAGATAAATATGTACTTTCTGCCATAAACCATCCACAGCGTGATGGATTTCTTGGCAGTACCATGTTTAACAGAAACGAAGTGTGTGGACGTAACAATTCTGCAGATGACGCAAAACGGCAGTGCAATGGCGTGTGAAGGAAAGTTCAGTTTGGGACATGCCTAGAGATTTTTTCTGGAGCGTCTGCAAGACAACATCTGACAAAGGTGCATTTGGAGGATGCACCTTCCACCTCGCTACTTTCACCCTTCCAACAAGGAAGCTTTGTGGAGTTTCCAGTTGTCCTCCTTTGCCATTCCTTTGCAGGATCTTGCAGAGTGCAGTACAAATAAGATTTGCTTGAAAGGGATGGGTAAAAATGGACAGTTGGGAGATCTAGAACACAGCAGATCAGTTGTGTGCCCGAGGGCGATGCCACAAGGAATTGGTGCCCTTTGTCACCCTGGATCTGTGTCTTTTTTCTAGGAGATGGATCTGGAGAGTTTAGAAGCTGCTAACCAGAGCTTGCAGTCAGACCTGAAGCTGGCCTTCAAGCGGATTGGGGACCTGCAGGCTGCCATTGAAGATGAGATGGACAGTGATGACAACGAGGATCTCATCAACAGGTTGGTTGGTTGGTGATTTATTAATGTGGCCACCCATCTTGCAAATGTGGCAGATTAAAACAATAAAAACGTCAGTGCAATAAAAAAGTTGGGGCTATTTGGGGCCAGCAGAGTAAGAGGATCTTCTGTGGCCTGGCTGATCAGACTTCTCCGCTTTCCTTACGTTCTTGAAACGCACCACATAATTCCTCGCAGATTGGGGTCAAGGTTGGCGAACATCTCGTGTGAGCAGTGGCCAGCCAGATGTTTCACAGGTGGTTGTAAAGATGAGGGACATGCAGTTAGTTGGCAGAAACTGCCTCTGAAAATTGAGGGTCCTTTAGCCATTGTGGCTCAGGCCTTTGACCAAACCCTTTCGATGCCATCTGCACTCCTAGCCCCCATCCCTTGCCCCTTTCTGCCACGTGCAGGAGCTGAAAAACATGGTCTCCATCAGCCAGCTTCCTTTCCATCATTTCCCATCCTGCTCCTTCTTTTTTCTCCTCTTCTCCCTTTTGCTCCACTACATCCTTCCTTCCTCTTCCTCCTAAGTGGTGTTTTCTTTTTTTAAAATGCGGTGTATTTTATTTTGCTTTTTTTCCCCCTCCCCCCCATCCCCTCTCCCTTGACCCGATTTCTCAGTCTGCAGGACGTGGTGTCAAAGTACCAGAAGCGCAAGAATAAGCTGTAAGGATGAGCTGTTTTTCCGGGTTCCCAGTAATACTATATCACGCCTAACCCCAAGCATGCCACGGACGAGAGCGGGGGCCGGTCCCCCCTCCCAGTGCAACCGCATGCCTCAACATGCATGGGTCTTGCCTTTCAAGCTCTAACCCGTGTTTAGCTCTGTCTTAGTGTGTCCTGACATAACCCTGCATACGGAACTAACCGTGGGATAGGAGGAAGGGGGTGTGCGCGAGAAATCCCCTCTGAGCCTGGCTCGGTGTCTCTGCTTGGGAAGGATAAAGAGTTTTGTCTGGGGGTACACGAGGGCAAAACAAGGAATCTTGTTATTTCCCAGTGGTGGTTCAGGATACCAGCCAGGGGACGCTATGCCGCCTACCCTCTGGTTTATACAGGTTGGCAGGGGTGTCCGCGGGATACGCCTGCACATGAAAAAAGCTGGTGGGGCTTGGATTGCACCCTAGTGGCTGCCATTTTGACTTTTTTGACTGTACCTTGTATACACCGTTGTTGGGTAGCCTCAGTTCTGGTTGTGCACCTGTAGCTTAGGAGGGGAGATAGCGGCACCAACCAGAGGGCAATTTGCCATCTTGCTTTGCAGAACCTTGGCAGTCATCTTCACAGCAAGGGTCTAAACTTATGTTTTTCAAACTTGGCCACTTTAAGATGTGTGGACTTCAACTTCCAGAATTCTGGAAGTTGAAGTCCACACATCTTAA